GTTGACCTGCATAAGGGTTACCTGCCCGAGCCTCCCTTTCCCAGAAAAACGGCAGAGGACAGGTCGAGAGTACTTCGGGTCAAGCTAACATCCTGATGGCGACTCTTGTACACAGTCTTAATGTTTGATTTGGGAAGGTTCAACCTCTGCCTCTATCCCTCAACATATGGGTGACCTATTTGCTTGTAAAAATGTAAAGCCTTATCATTAATTAATAAAAAAGGGGGATATGTAGGGGGCCGTTTCCTGCATCCTCCATTACAATAATGGTGCCTAAAGACACCAAGATGTAAATTACTTCACAGGCGCTGGGTAATCTCCATTCCTTTGATCTCTGCCTATCCCGTGGCTCATTTGGCCTGAGGAGCTGAAGCCATTCATAGGGTAACACGTCCCAGGCGGCTGGCCAGCCTTTATTAGGGATGGGTTTTCTTGGTTCAGTGTCTCCGCTCTGGTAAGCTTATGCATTAAAGCTTGTCTGCAGAAGGATCCGAGTGTCCTGCGTGTATTTCTTGCCGGCGAGAAAATACAGCGTGCGCGGGACAGTAGGGCATTTATTTCTGAGTAGAGGACATATGTGGATAATTACAGGCTAAGGAAAGTCACACTTACCTTCACTCGGAAGCTTCTATACAGAGGGGACTTCTCATTTAAGAGTTTCCGCAAGGAAACATTGGTCCAGTGATCTGACAGGGAAACAACCAGAGTCCACATTAGCAACTGCTCCCCTGCCAACCTAGACATTTTCACTGATGTGCATCCATGCTTCCCAGAACGCCAACCAGCCAGCCACTCATGGGAGCCTCGTGCAACTTCATGAGCTAGGTAGTGCTTCCAGCTGTTTCCCTGCTGCCCAGCATGGCCCTGCAAGCCCAGAGAGCAACAGTAACCAACTTCCAGGGGCTACACACTCCCAGGTGCTGCCACCTAAACAAGCTGGTTTCCACTTAGTGTGTCCCAGAGAATGAATGGAGACTTCAGGCTGTATTCACTCTGAAAAGTACTGGGGGCTTGCCATCATGCCTCAGGACACATGGCCTCCTTGGCCAGAAAGCAAAAGTCCCAAGAAGTACAGGGTGCATGTATGCACTATGAGCAAGCAACTCCTCCATGCCAGGCACTGCCCACACCAACTGCCCTGCCCTTGTAAAACCACCCAGCAGCAGCTGAAGAACCTCCAGGGAGAACAAACTGATACAGAAAGATGAGTCAGTGGTGCCAGGCGATGTTGTAGGGTCAGAAGCTGTTCAAGGAAGGTCAGAAATTCTGGTCAGTTTGGCTTTAAGTCTGAAAGCAACTCCCAGGGATCATGAAGGAAAAACACTGGGGGCATGGGCAGTGATGTGGCATGTCTGTACAGGGGTAAGAGGAAGATTCCAAAGGGGAAAAAGGAGTTCCCAGGCTGAGGATATAACTCAGTTTGTAAAGTGCTTGCTACGCAGGAGGATCCAACTGTAATCACCAGAGCCTGTGAAAGTATGCTAGCTCCCAGAGCTGGAGAGGCGGAGACAGGAGGATCCCTGGAGCTTGGTGAGCCCCAAGTCCTACTAAAACACAAGGTGGACAGTTCCTGAGGAATGATGCCTGTTGTTGGCCCCTGGCCTCCACACACAGGTGCACACACATGCGTATGCATCCAGAAAACACATGTATGCACATATACATAAGCACACACATGCAGAACAAGTCCTGAGCCAGATAGGATGTTACTTGTGGCTGATAACACAGAAGCTGCAGCATAACAGTGTCTACTGCCCATCTTCCCCATTAGGCTCTGAGATCCTGGGAGGGCAGAGAGCCACGACCTCTAAGCACTACTCATTCCACGCATCCCATAGCAGAGCCAAACTTAAGCATGGTTGTCCCTGCCCCCGTTTGAACAGGAGATTGAGGCACAGAGAGGTTAAGCAACTGGCTTCGGGTCACCCAGAGCTAGGTGCATACTGCTTAGCTTTGCACATCCCCTCTCGCATCCCACCATATCTTCAAACTCGTTTCCAGCCTTCAGTTTATTGGGTGTCCCAGAAGGACTCACACCCATTAACTCCCTGCCTTGTTTCATTCACTACTCATCTCAGAGACCACCATAACACAAACATGACCAGGGCAAGACAGCCACCAGGGGCTGATGGGACACGGGCAAAACAGAGTGCTAGTTGGAAGGGTAGCTCAATGCCACAAAGCTTGTCTGACACATTAAAGGCTCTGGGTTCAATCCGTAGCCCACATACATGTACACACACACACACACACACACACACACACACACAGGCATGTATACACAGACACACACATGTACACACAGACATACACACATGTATACACACAAAAAAGGACACTAGTACTTGTTTATTCCCTTCTAGAACATCAACAAGCCAGCTTAGCAGGGGGCCTTGCCAAGGCCTGGGAATCCTTGGAGACCTCCTTAGCTAGAAGTCCCAGCAAGGGCTGCCCTGGCATCCTGGATGGAAAGGAGATGGGGCCCTAGGGTCCAGGCTCCTAGGGTGGCTAGAGGCCCAACACCACACCTAAGGATCCATCCTGGATCTGATCCAGACCCAGTGAGTCTCTCAGAAAGCCCCAAGCTGGTGTCCTCTGTTGACCTTGCACCCTTTGTTAAAGAAAGAAACTCCAAATGACTTCCTGAGTCAATTTAGGGCACATCCCAGCAAATGGTAAGAATTGAGACTCTGGACATGCAGCTTGGCTTCAGATCTCAGTCACCATTCCCCAACCTCGGGTCAGGTATGAGTAGCTTCAGTTCACTAAACCTCTTAATGGACAATAACAAGTCACTCAGTCCTAGTGGGTACAGATGACAGGAGATGATACATCAAGAGCTCAGGGCACAACTGCTTACTGACGCCAGGTGTGTTTATTCACACTGCTGCCAAGCTGGGTGGTTCCCCCAGACTCCACCATAGCCCACCCTGTGGCCTTGCTAGTCTACTCTCACCCATTCAAAGATAGCTCAAAACCAGGAAGAGCAGAAGTGCTCACAATCTCAGATAAAGTCACCATCCTGAACCTCAGAAGGTAGGAGATGTATCCTAGGGCCACAGCCAAGTACTCTCCCTGCAGCCTTCAGTCCTCACCAGCAAAAGTCCCAACCTCAGCTTGGACCCTCTGGCCTTCTCCTGTCACCACTGCACTATTCCCTTGCCCCAGGAAGCAGGGTGCTCACTCTCTGAGCTCCCAAGACAAGGAAATAAGAATGTCTCAGAGTCTCAACAAATGGTGCTGGCATAACTGGATGCTGGAATGTAGAAGACTGCAGATAGATCCATGTCTATGCCTATGCACAAAACTTTAAGTCCAAATGGATCAAAGACCTCAACATAAATCCAGCCACACTGAACCTATTAGAAGACAAATAGGGAAATACCCTTGAATTAATTGATACAGGAGACCACTTCCTGAACATTACACCAGTAGCACAGACACTGAGATCAACAATTGATAAATGGGACCTCTTGAAACTGAGAAGCTTCTGCAAGGCAAAGGACACAGTCAGCAAGACAAAACGGCAGCCCACAGACTGGGAAAAGATATTCACCAACCCCACATCTGACAGAGGGCTGATCTCCAAAATATGCAAAGAACTCAAGAAGCTAGTCTCCAAAACACCAAACAATCCAATTAAAAAGTGGAGTACAAACTAAATAGACAATTCTCAATAGAGGAATCTAAAATGGCTGAAAGACACATAAGAAAGTGTTCAACATCGTTAGCCATCACGGAAATGCAAATCAAAACAACTCTGAGATACCATCTTATACCTGTCAGAATGGCTAAAATCAAAAACACCAATGACAGTTTATGCTGGAAAGGATGTGGAGAAAGGGGAACACTTCTCCACTGCTGGTGGGAGTGCCAACTTGTACAGCCACTTTGGAAATCAGTATGGCAACTCCTCAAAAAAATGGGAATCAGTCTACCACAAGATCCAGCAATTCCACTCTTAGGCATATACAAAAAGATAAACATGGTATGTACTCACTCATATGTGGATTTTAGATATAGAGTAAAG